TGGGGATAGTTCACCTTTAAGTATACCAGAACAACAAAAACTAGTTGTGTGTAGAACACTATAAACGTTTGAGAAACTGGGGGTAGTTCACCTTAAAGTATACCAGAACAACAAAAACTAGTTGTGTGTAGAACACTATAAACGTTTGAGAAACTGGGGGTAGTTCACCTTTAAGTATACCAGAACAACAAAATCTAGTTGTGTAGAACACTATAAACGTTTCAGAAACTGGGGAAAGTTCACCTTTAAGATAGAAATTTATTTCTCCATGTTTAATGAATGCCAGATGTTTGGAATGTGAAATCATCTCATCTTACTAAAAACATGAAATTCAAATACTTGAGAAAACATTTTTCTTTATGTTTTGTCGGAAGGTGCAGGAGCCGTTTCTCTGCTAGAAACATTTCAAGGTAGAGGGGTTTTTTGTTTTGGAATTTTTAAAGTTATTTTTTGTTGTATATTTGATAAATGTGTTGAATTGCAGACAGAATTTGAAGATGGATGAATTACGAAATACAGACATCTGGAGAAATGGGGAAATTCTTTTCATATAATTTTTTAAGTTAGAAATGCAGATTTCCGGCTAGACTGCTGGTTGCCATGTTTTTGTGGGTTTTTTTTCACCCAGACTATTTTGTTTTGTTTTATTTTCATTTTTGATACAGCTAATGATGTTTTGATATCAGACTTCAGTTTTGGTTTATTTTCATTTTGGTTAAAACTAATGATGTTTTTTTTTATTAAAATAGGTAGAAATGGGCGATTCTTCCAGTTATCCTAAGTTTTTTAATGTAACTAGTTTCATTCGTATTGAACTCTTCAGACTGGTTGGACTCAAAAAGTGAAGTTCTATTTATGCTATTTCGGGACCCCGGTAAAAGAATTTACCGGGGTTAGTATTTGGCGGGGTTGCCAGGGTTATTTTACCGGGGTTTGACGTATTTTGGCGGGGGTTGCATTATTTTTTTTATTGTTATTATTATTATTATGAACATTTTTATAGCACACAATTCAGTAGGTGCTCAATTGCGCTCTACAAAACAATATAAATTATCAAAAAAACAGTATAAAATATAATCATAAATTATTTAGTAAACAACACATTATGAAGTGATGGTTTGATGTTTGACTTCTGTTTTGACTTTGTTATATTTTCATTTTGGATTAGAATTATTGAAAGGGTATTTATGTTCGTAAATGGTATAATACAAATTATATTTTAGATATGTTAAGGTGTAAGAGATTTTAAGAATTTAAGTGGGATGAACCAGAGTTTGTGTTTTTGTGGTATTTGTCTGTCATTGTGAAAGAAAGTTTGAATATAAAAATAAGAGATTAGATGATTTAAAGGAGGCAAGTCTTTAACTCAATATCATCCAAAGTCTTCGATAATTGTAAACACAACTTACTGGTCATTTTAAATCAACATTGATGTTGTTATCTTACTAAAAAAACATATTTATACAAATTGTAAAAGTTACCCCAGTTGAGTGTCAGGAAGATTTCTACCGCTGTAAGCTTGCTACTGTAGCCCAAATGAGACTTTCTTACTTATTAAGGTCACAAGATTGAAATTCTTGTAAACAAAAGATGGCGATAACAAATTAAATACCATAATTAAAGATACATTGTTTAAGCGCTAAATCTGCCTATTTCAGGCCGTGTTTCTGGCTTCAGATGTTGTATAAACTATTATATATTTACACATGTATTAACATGACAAGCCTATAATCAACTCATGAGACCACCAGATGACTTGGATATTAATTTCATTAGACCATTCATGCTGTTTATTATGGTAGCAATGACAATCGAGACTGCACTATTCTTGTCAAAATTTCAAACATTTATAACCTTGCTCAGAATAAAATAATTTGAATGAAATTTTCAATATGGTTATTTTACATTATCTATTTATGAATACAGTGAGAACAGCAAGCTCTTTATCTAAATCTTACATAATGCCTCTTTAATTATTGTCGTTTGTTTTTGAAACTATTATAGCAATAACGGCAGGCTCTTTATCTAAATCTTACATAATGTATCTTTAAACTATTATACCAAGAACGGCTAGCTTTTAAATTTAAATCTTACATAATGTATCTTTAAACTATTATACCAAGAACGGCTAGCTTTTAAATTTAAATCTTACATAATGTATCTTTAATTATTGTCGATTGTTAACAACATTAATTAATACTACGTCATATTCCTTATCTGACTTTCCAGTATCGTTTCCATTTGTCATTGGTGCAGGACTTAGGGCCTGACAAGGACAGCTGTCTAGTCGTTCGGATGGAACAAAAAGAGGAGGTCCCGTGTACACATTGGCGTGCATGTTAAAGATCCCTTGGCAGTTGGAATTTGATATAAGAGTAGGTCGTAGCACCGCTGTCTGCCAAAATTCCCCCATAGCACACTGTATGGCGCATGCCCATCTTCATTAGCCCAGTCGGAGCAGAACAGTAGGATGTTAAACCCAATTTTCATTTTATATAGGACAGGGGAGTAGTCAAAGAATAGGGATTTAGCTCCTTTAAGGTGGGGGGGGGGTGGATGGCCGAATGGTTAGCACATGCGCGTTGTATCATAAGGTCTGTCATTGAGTCAACAGGCGTGGTTTCGATTCCCTGTTTGTACGTGGCAAAGAGTAGGGTCGCCTGTCCAACCTTGTGGGTTTTCTCCGGGTCCTCCGGTTTCCTCCCATTGCTAAAGACCCCTACGCGCAAGCGAATTATTGAAATAAAATTGAACCATGTGTTAGTCCTGAAATGACCTAGTTTGTGTCGAGTGGGCGTTGACTCAATGACAGGCTTATGATACAGCGCGCACGTGCTAACGACGGGCATTGAACTCTTCACATTTTCAAACTGATAGCAAAGTTCTTGAGGCGTCGGAACTCGGAAGACAATTGTAATACAATTTACCGGAACAACTTTACATTGATTCAGTTAACGACACTGGGTTTTTTTGCTGTTAATTTCTACTTAAGTGGTTTGGGAATCGGAATTATGGCTGATAATGTTCGGCAGTATTTCTCCCTGAAGACATGTAATTTCTGTACAGCTGGCCTAATGCAAGATCCTGTTAAATTGATGATAGCAGAATTAAACCCCAAAGCTCAACACCATAATACTTGATCCTATAGCAAAGAGAAATTTTTTTAATATTTCCCACAGGGACCGTGTGTCAAACGTATGTGTGTTACGTGTTTAAAAAACTGTTGGAAGATTTGAGGTAATCACGATACCCAGGGTTTCGAGAGTTACACAAGAATTTCCTGGTTACTATAATTATGACAGTTTTCACATGGTTTTCATTTGTTGGTAAAATAAAGATAGCCGACAACACCTGGTATTGATCATGATATAGAATAAAATATGTGTAGATTTAAATCATATTAAAGAGGTGTTCAAACTGGAAATATTTTGCTTGATAAAGATTAGTGAATTGTAGTGGAAACTGTCTTTAGTAATAATGGCTTTAAGTAGACCGTTATTCTGGCTTGTTGGGGCTTTATATAGACCATTATTCTGGCTTGTTGGGGCTTTAAATAGACCGTTATTCTGGCTTGTTGGGGCTTTAAATAGACCGTTTTCTGGCTGTTGGGGCTTTAAATAGACCATTATTCTATCATGTTGGGGCTTTAAATAGACCATTATTCTGGCCTGTTGGGGCTTTAAATAGACCGTTATTCTAGCATTTTGGAGCTTTATATATACCATTATTCTATCGTGTTGTGGCTTTAAATAGACCATAATTCTGGCCTGTTGGGGCTTTAAATAGACTGTTATTCTAACATGATGGAGCTTTAAATAGACCGCTGGGGTTTTTATCTGATTTTATGTCATTTCAGTTTTAGTTAAATATTAATGCTCTGTATTAAGGTTAATCATTTTATAGCTCAAATTTTACATACATTGATCGAGCTCAAATTTTACATACATTGATCGAGCTCAAATTTTACATACATTGATCGAGTTGGACAGCAACCATATAAACCAAGAAATCAATACAAATTATTGTTATCATTATTTTCTTGTCACCAGCTGTGTCTTAATTTTACCCAATAAAATATTTATTATTATAATAAACGAAAATAACTTTACACGCCAGATGTCAGGGTTAATGCTTTTGTCCAGAGTTGCAAATTTCAAGATTTCTAAAAAGAGAGAGATCCAAAAATTTTGAATTACATAAATTGATATTAATGGCATGGCCTCCACAAACAGATTTTCTGTAGTTGGATGAGCCCACATTGGCGTGCACGTAAAAGATCCCTTTGCAGTTGGAATTCGATATAAGAGTAGGCCGTAGTGCCGCTGTCCAGGCAAAATTTCCCTCATAGCACACTGTATGGCGTATGCCCGTCTTCATTAGCCCAGGTTAGGAGCAGAACAGTAGGTTGTTAAACTCCATTTCATTTCATTTCAGCCCAACATTAGTCAAATCTAAATATTAAGACCACGTTCAGATTTCCTCAAGGTCACAAGATGCAAATAGAATAGGATTAGAGCATGTGATTGTTGCTGAGGATGTTGATATTTCTGTTTTTATTTTTTTCCCTAATTAAATAAACAATTTGACTGCATATTCAGATACTATCATTGTAATGATCTACATTATGAGGGTAAATGTTTTACAAGAGAAGTAACCTTCAAAACTTCATGGTTGATCCGTATTTAGGTGGTGGTGTGTTTGTGGGAAGTATTTCTATATTGATGATATCATCAACTGAATAGATATTCTACTTCTAGAGGATGATACTGCTTTAAAAATCCCTTCTTTTTATTTCCCTTTAGTCATGTGACTGTCACATGATCAACACTATACAGTGGGATGAAGCTTTTCATTTTAAACTATTTAGAATATTTTCATCCTTTTAAACATCGTGAATCATCGTCTGTTTTTATTTCAAGCGGAGATAAAAATTCGCCTAGATTTCAACGGTCTTATTTAATTTCTGCTGACTAATCACAAAGATATTGTAGTAGTAATTTCAACTAGTTTTTATTTCCGGTGTTTTGGTGTTAGTTGTGGTCGTTAATCGACATCTTGCTTCGTAGGAGTGGATTTGGGAGTTAGAGGATTTGTCATATTGTTGCTGAGTATGAGATGAACATGTAAGTTTGGATTAAACATGCATTATGCAAGAGCAAAATCTGCTTATTACAAGTCATTCTTTAGGCCTGAAATGTTATCTAAATTATCAATTAGACATTAATTAACTTATCCAGACTATAATAAACTCTCATTGTCAAGGCTAGCCTTCTATGTTGGCTGGATTAGATTCCTATATGCTGTAACGGCTATTGATAATTAAATCAGAAAAAGTGGATAATCGAGACTATGCTGTTTATATTAATGATTATAGTAATGATGACCGAGACTATGCAAAAATTTCTCGGCTCATAGTGGATCAATTTGACTGAAATTTTCAGCAAATTACCTTTACACTATCTAGTTTTTAACTATTATAGCGAGAACTGCCATCTCTTTATTTAATCTCCCATAATGTACCTTTAACTAGAGAGGATTTATTATACCCGTATATGTACTTGTGGTGATCAAGTCTGGTAATTCTTTTAAAGCGAGAATTTCATATTTTCTAAGAAAGTCAAAACATAATTATTTCTATTATGTCTTTTGCTCAATAGGTTATCAACTCACTATTATACGATCATAGGTTATCTTTCTCACACTTAAAAATCTTCACACCGGAAATAACAACACAATTACCTCCCTTGTTTTCCTATTGAAAACAAAAGTCAGCCATTTCCTCAACGTTGGAATTTGAAGTTGAAAATGATATTTCTCAGCAGGCAATAGTGAATTATAGGATTAATAGGATTATTCTATTACAGGTTAGGACTGTATTTGGATACCATTTTAAGGCTTTATTTTAATAAATTTTAAAAATATAACTTAAAAATTTGAAATTTCCGCTTTAAGCACTTGACATTCGTTCACAGATTTTCTTACACAGGTTTTCGTGAACGCATGCATTTGTATAGGAATGGATTTGTGTCCGCAGGTCTGGAAATAAGATTTTTTGTCCTCGCCTTTCAAAGAAAGCAGGGGACTATCAAAATGGGTTCGTCCGTCTGTCTATCTGTCCGTCACACTTTTTGGGACACAATAGCTCATCTTCTAATTAAGCTACAATGTTCAAACTTGGTGTAGGTGTTGATTAAGTCGATGCCTTGATGGAGATCGAAGATGAGCATTTTCGGCTTAGGACTCGATAACTTTAGTTCTAATTAAGTGAGCTAGTGCTGAAACTTGGTGTATAGTTTCATCACATCAATACCTTGATTAAGTTTGATAATAAACATATTTCGAATTTTATGTTTGACATGATAATCATCAGAAGAATTGTACCAGACAATAAATGTGACAGGTCAACATAGACTGATTCGAAATTACAATATCAATTTTAATATGTGCCTTTTGTCTACCTTTGAGATGTAATTTCTTTAAATGAATGAAATTCCATTCCTATTGACTACCACAATATCGGTGTCATTTATAGGACAGGGGAGTATTCAAAGAATAGAGATTTATCTCCTTTCAGGTGTCTGATTTGATATCTATATTTTAATCATCTGCCATAATACTTCATTTCATAGGGGGTTGGATGGCCGAATGGTTAGCACGCACGCGCTGTATCATACGGTCTGCCATTGAGGTAATGATTGAAATAGAATTAAAACATGTTAGTCCCGAAATGACCTAGTTTGTGTCGAGTGGACGTTAAACCCCATTTCTCTCTCTCTCTCTCTCTCACTTCATTTCATACCTTTAAAATACAGGTGTATGAATTGATATCTATATTTTATATACATAATGTTAACATGTAGGTTAATCACCTGGGGTGATTCTAGTATATTTATATTTCCTTCGATAAATCATATTCTCACTTTTAAACAGACTACTTCCTGTTTATGTACCTGATAGGTACATCACATATACCTGAAAGGTAAGGAATACCTTATTGTAACTGTCATGCATTATACAACGATGCAATGGTAGGAACTGGTGTTTAACCTTTCATTGGTTATCTTGGGACTAACATAAAGGTAATTGCAATTCAACAAATACGTAATGAAGACGTAGGCATATAATACACCATACAGTTTGCTATGAGGGACATTTAGCCCAGACAGTGGGGTTCCTGCGTACTATTGGTTGTATCCTAACTGCCAAGGGTTCTTGTATGTGGACGCCAACAGGTACACAGGTCCATGGTTTATCATCCCATCCGAAAGACTAAACATTGTTAACTGCTAGACCTCCTGCACCACTGATAAGAAGAAACAATGCTTAAAAATTCTAAGGAACTTTCTCGGGCTGCACAGGGATCGAACCCATGAACCAGGAATACAGGGATCAGATCCATGAACCAGGAACAGAGAAATCATCCCCGTGAACCAAGAACCCTCTGGTTAAGGAGCCAGCGCCTTTAAAACTGAGCAACATGTTAATTGGTACATTGTGAGATAACTAGCGTAATCCGTCACATTACTTGCAAACTGACGAATCTGGTATATTTAGATATCGAGAATTATGCGTTTGAAATTTGCGATCTTTTGTTATCTCTGTGGCCATTAAATAATAACAATTATTTGTGATTTAATATTTCATACACAGAACTCCATATACATAAATGTTATTTGATGGCTACAAAGATAAAAACAGAGCATGAATTTTAAATGCTTGATAACGACTTGTGAAATCTTGTTGAAACGTCGCAGTCAAATAAACCACAGTAATTGTTATCCATAAATAGTGTGTTATTTGTTTAAATATATGAAATTCGTTGGTTTGCGAGAAACGTTAAGAATCTAAATATCAGTGTAATTTTCGCTATGTATGATTATAATATGCACGTAGGCGTGCGCGCGTAAAAGAACTTACAGCAGTAGGAATTCGATATAAGAATAGGCTGTAGTGCTGCTGTCCGGGCAAAATTTTCCTCATAGCACACAGTATGGTGTATTACCGTCCTCATTAGCCCAATCGGTGCAGAACAGTAGGATGCTAAACCCCATTATGAAAATAAAAGAAAATGTATTTATGATGAGTTTCACCTGTAAGACTCGTTAGTAAAGGTGTAATATATCAAGGTATAGGTAGGTAGTGATAACTAACACCAGGTGATACATCTATCTACTGGTAACACACAATATACCATGAACTTTCACCTGTACATACAACATGTCTGACAATCAGTATATCATAGGAAATTACTTGGGGTCAAAGGTTATAGAGTGCTACCAGGATTAAACTGTCAGAATCAACACCATTCACAAGTTTGATGCATGTTCTCAGTCTCTTCCTGCAGTGAATTAAAATCCTTAGCATGTAGGAGGATTGGATGGTTTTGATTCCCCGGTTGTACGTGACAAGGAGTAGGGTCTCCTGTCCAACCTCGTGGGTTTTCTCCAGGTCCTCCGGTTTCCTCCCACTGCTAAAGACCCCTATGCTCAAGTGGATTATTGAAATAAAATTAAACGATGTGTTAGTCCCGAAATGACCTATAGTTTGTGTCGAGTGGATTTTAAACTCTCTCTCTCTCTCTCTCTCTCTCTCTCTCTCCTTCCTCCTTCACTTACTAATAAAGTCACAAGATTATTATTAGTCAAACAAAGAGTCTGAAGAAGTCACATGTTGTTTATTTAATATATTGATCAGCAGGTCAGACATGTAGGCGTTGATTTAATTGTCAATTATGGCTGAAACTAGTGAGGGGGTGAAATGTTTCCTTATGTCTGAGTATATATATGTATCAAATGAAAGAGTTTTTAAAACAGGTAGAAGGACATGCTACAACACTGTAAAAAGTTTATTATCATTTGATGTATTGGTGTATTTTTTATTAAATTCTGTCTACGAAATGGAAGTCATAAAGTGAGTGAATGTTATAGAAGATTCTCTAAATATATTTTTTTATGCAAAAAGACTTCACTATAGCATTGTTGGAGACACTTTCATCTGCCTAATACCGAAACTTGCTGTACAAGAAATAGCATGAGCTTTTATATAGTCTATGTTTATTTATACAGAGAGGAGAATATCAGAATTTTATTTTATGTTGAATATATTTTCTATTTTCAGAATCCTGCTGCAAAATGCTGTTGATGGAGGGTACCTTGTAATGACCTTGAGAAGGCGACGAAAGAGACCAGCGCCACCTCCTCCGTTACCAATACGTCACACGCCATCTTTACATCATCGCAACAGTCACGATAGCGGTCGACCTGTGGGTTCAATCGGTCTGTATTGTCAAGCGATGTCTCAATCAACAACATGTCTTCCGAGTGAATCTAGCGTCGATCGTGTACCTCATAGCAATGGTAACATCGGCTTTAACGCACCGTTGTCGTCTTCCAGTGCTGAACTGAGTATTTCTAACGACGACGTTTTTGTTGACTCTTCAACACCCGATGACAAAGTTATTTACGTTAATATACCAAAATATGATTTAATAAATGGAGATCATCAAACTGGTGGTTGCTCGGCATCAGAATTTCATTATTGTGAAAATTGTAAACAAAGAACTCAGAGCACGTCTGCTGTCGAGGACATGGTGAATTGGTCAAGTGAGATCAGTCCGCCAAAACATTTTACACATGAATATAAGAACAGAAACTCTCCAGAACTTTTACGACAGAATTCAACGTCAACTCTCGTAGGCGAAAATGGGAATCGTAGTGGAAGTTGTGAATCATTATCGACCAATCAAAATCATAGTAAACTTTCAAGCAGCAGTATTACGCCGTTACGTCGCCTTGTGGAACGTAATTTGTTAAAATCTTGTGATAATCGTGGTGAGGTTTATTCTCCGTCCAATGGTAGTCCATGTAGCTGTCACTCTGATATAGGAACAGGAAGTGCTGTGTCATCGCCAGGTTGTTCTAGTAAGGTAAGTTGAACAGAAAATTATTTGTAAATGGAGAGAGAAAGAGATTTAACATCCATTTAACACACACTAGGTCATTTCGGGACTAACATATGGCTTAATTTTATTTCAATAATTCGTATGCAAGTAGGGGTCTTCAGCAGTGGGAGAAAACCCAAGATGTTGGACGGGGGACCCTACTCCTTGTCATTTACAAGCTGTGAAGCAAAACCCTACCATTTGACTCAATGACAGGTCTTATGATCTAAAGCGGGTGCATCAAATCATTCGGCCACCCAACACCCCATCAAAAGTAAGAGGTACATGTATTAAATTTTAGCCTTCTAATTATCGCACTTACTCTGTAGAAAAGTCAGGAGACCAGGGCCCTTATTCACGAAATTTTAACTAAGATAAAATCCAAATTTTAGTCATTTGATTGGATAATATTAGACTGATTGTAGTGCTTAGCCAATCAAAATTGAAGTATCTACTAAAATTTGAATTTTATCTTTAGTTAAAATTTCGTGAAACAGGACCCAGGGCCCTTATTCATGAAAACTTAAACTAAGTTACAACCGAAATTTTGAGAAATACTGCAACTTCATTGGAAATATGCAAATTGATTTTACTGGTCAGCCAATCGAATTGCAGTATTTCTTAAAATTTCGCTTGGATCTTAGTTTAAGTTTTCGTGAAGAAGGGCCCAGTGCCAAACAAAAGGGAGATTTGATTGATAAGCACTGACCTAGGGTGATCAAGACTTAGTCTGTGATATGGCCGAATGTCTTTAGAATATAAGATACATTAAATATATATTTAAAAAATCATGTATAGGTAAGTAAATGGTTTTTGTATGGTAATGTCCTCATCTGAAAATAACCAAAACCAAATTAAATGATCGCTTTTAATTTACATGTAGCATGTTACTAAAGGGAATTGGGGGATCACGTGGCTAAGTGGGTAAGACGCTAGCTCGCTAGCCTGGAGGTCGGGTGTTCGATCCCTGCATTGGCCGAGAAAGTTCATCCAGATTTTCCGGCGTGGTTCTCCCTTGTCAGTGATGCAGGACGGAGGGGCTGACAAGGAAAGCTGTCTAGTCGTTCGGATGGGACGAAAAACCGAGGTCCCGTGTACACATTGGCGTGCACGTAAAAGATCCCTTGGCAGTTGGAATTCGATATAAGAGTAGGCCGTAGTGCCGCTGTCCGGGCAAAATTTCCCTCATAGCACACTGTATGGCGTATGCCCGTCTTCATTAGCCCAGGTTAGGAGCAGAACAGTAGGACGTTAAACTCCATTTCATTTCATTTCTAAAGGGAATTACATCAGTCCACAGCTCACTATTAATTTCACCTTTTGACTCTAATCCAGTGATTCTCAACCAGTGTGCCGCGAAATTTTGAATTGAGTATTCACTGCAGTCGGCTGGTACGTTCATAGCTGTGTTTTTCTTTATTTAGTTTGAGTCATTCTATGTGTCTATGACTAGTCTGTGTCTATGGTTGTATGCCGTGTATGACTTGCCATGTTTTTATTTTGCAAAATTCAGATATTCTTCATATATATTTAACCAGGTGTGCCGCTATTTTTTTCATGTATTCCAAGGTGTGCCATTAGTAAAAAAAGTTTGAGAACCACTGCTCTAATGCTAATTCTCGTCTCTTTGACAGGCTCTAACATTTCAACCTAACCAACCTCTTAACTCCACCCAAATCATGAATATTCCCCAAAACCTGGCAGAAAGTGTGTAAGCTTATTCAAACCATTTTCTTCGGTTCTAATTCTACACCAAAAAGTCAACAAAAATCGTCATTCCATGGCGGGAACGGGAGAGAAATACTATGAATATATAAATAGCTTTTGCACTCGATTCGTTAGTTACAATAAGTAATGATGTCCTCTATCCCCTGTGTCTGCTCCATCACTTTATTAGTGAAGAGATGTGCGTTGGAACATTTTCTGACATGTTGACAACTGATCTGAGATATTAGATTTGTCTCAATGAGACAGAGATAATTATTATATTACTGATCTCTAATTCTACATATAACCCAGATTGTCGTACAACACAGTCAGATAAGGACAGCTGTGGTTTAATTCTACATATAGAGAGAGAGAGAGAGAGAAATGGGGTTTAAAGTCCACTCGACACAAACTAGGTCATTTCGGGACTAACATATGCTTCAATTTTATTTCAATAATTCACTTGCACGGAGGGGTCTTTAGCTTTAGCAGTTGGAGGAAACTGGAGGACCCGGAGAAAACCCACGAGGCTGGACAGGCGACTCTACTCCTTGTCACGTACAACCGGTGAATCGAAACCGTGCCAGTTGACTCAATGACAGACCGTATGATACAGTGTGTGCGTGCTAACCATTCCGCAATCCAACCCCCTATTCTACATATAAGCCAGGTTGGTGTTTAATACACAGATAAGGACAGTTGTCCTTTAATTTTATTTAGGCCACTCCAGTTTGAATTTCTGATGTTTGCGAACACATTAAAAATTCTGCCTCAAATTTCTTATAAAATAAAAACTAATTTTAAATGAAATGACATGAAATGGGGATTAATGTATTACTGCTCTGCTCCTGTTGGGTTAATGAAGACAGAAATTAATTTTAAACAAAAAGTACCAAGATATTTATTGATCAAGGGACGGAAGAACTAAAACTTGTACGTGACAAGAAGTAGGGTCACCTGTCCAACCTCGGGGGTTTTCTTCGGGTCCTCCAGTTGCTCCCCAAGTGAATTGTAGAAATAAAATTAAACCATATGTTAGTTCCAAAAGTTGTGTCACTGGACGTTAAATCTCTCTCTCTCTCTCATATATGAAGGTTTACAATTAAAGATTTTCAGAATCTTAATAACAACTAGGTTAAACCTTAGGGGTGGGGGAAGACGTTTAAGACATGCCCTTTACCCTACATGTTTATGCATCACTAAAGATAGCTAACTTGAGCTAGATTCAAGAATCGAACTCTGTAACCAGAGCAGGTTAATTAATGTTGAACTCAATTCAAATGATTTATTCTCAATATAATTTTATGTTTATTTCAGAAGAGAATTATAACGAAGATTCATCTATTAAAGGATGAGAATGGTTTAGGTGTACATATCGCGGGTGGTAAGGGCTCGAAGAAAGGGGATATTGGTATATTTGTAGCTGGCATAACTGAAGAAGGAGCTGCTCACAGGTGAGACACATTTCTCTATGCATATTGGGGCTGTTGGATGGTCGAATGGTTAGCATGTGCGTGCTGTATCATAAAGTCTGTCATTGAGTCAAATGGCGTGGTTTCGATTCTCTGGTTCTACGTGACAAGGAGTAGCGTCGACTGTCCAACCTCGTGGGTTTTCTCCTGGTCCTTCAGTTTCCTCCCACTGCTAAAGACCCCTACGCGCAGGCAAACTATTAAAATAAAATTGAATCATGTGTTGGTCCCGAACTGACCTAGTTTGTGTCCAATGCACGTTAAACTCAATTTCTTTCTCTCTATGTATATTAAAATTAAAACATGGATACTGCAGGCTGTGGTGGGTTTGTTTAGTAGCTTGCATAATATTTTTTCCTGCTGAAGGAATTATGTTATGATTTTAACATAAAAAGATCAAAAATAACTGAGAGAAGTCCCCAGATTGTAGCTAAATGGAATGAATACCTTGTCTGTCCCCCCCTTAACACTAAAATAACTGGGAGAAGTCCCCAGATTGTAGCTAAATGAAATGAATACGTTGTCTGTGTCCCTCCCTTTAAACTAAAATAACCGAGAAACCCTCCCAGATTGTAACCAAATGGAATGAATACCTTGCCTGTGTTCCTCCCTTTAAACTGAATTTCTCTAGTTCGATTATAAAGGTATGTTATATTGTTCCAGGTATGATTTATAAAGGTATATGTTATATTGTGCCAGGTATGATTTATAAAGGTATGTTATATTGTTCCAGGGATGGTCGTTTAAAGAAGAACGATGAACTACTGATGATTAACGGAAAGAGTCTGATTGGTTTATCTCATCAAGATGCTGTCGAAGTTCTTAGAAGTGCTCCACGATTGGTTCAGCTTGTTGTCTCATCAAAGGTAAGACATGCTTCATGATTGGTTCAGCTCATTGTCTCATCAAAAGTATGATGACATGCTCCACGATTGGTTCAGCTCGTTGTCTCATCAAAGGTAAGACACGTCCACGATTGGTTCAGCTCGTCTTATCAAAGGTAAGACATGCTTCGTGATTGGTTCAGCTCGTCTTATCAAAGGTAAGAGTAAGACATGCTCCATGATTGGTTTAGCTCATTGTCTTATGAAAAGTAAGGATATTCTTATCTACCATGGGGTGAGACGAAACCTCGCGATTTCTCATTCCTGAAACCTACTTAGCATCCTTACCATTCAGATGGCACCAAAAAAATGGTGGTTACGTTTTGTCCTAACAAAACTCGATTGGGTATTGTCATTTATTTCTGAGTTGACGAAGACATCTTTACGATTTCATCAGAGCAGAGCACCAGAAGACCACAGGGGAAAAACTTGTGATGTCCACATTTATGCTTTTGTTCGATTACTTCCCATGATTTTACCCCTTGGTCCCTTCTTTATTCTCCATAAATATTGTATGGATCAACCCGACATGTCACTCTCTACAGAGGGTTTTTTGAAAGGCATAAAAGGGAAAAACTGGTGATGTCCAAACCATGGTCAATCAAATCAAATGCCCAAAATACATCATAGGAATGCTATGGGAGTGTGCACCAGCTTAAATGATCTCACTAAATGCATGATTCTTCATAGAAACTTGCAATATTTAAAAAAAAACTCTTCCAAACTGAAGAAATGAGTGTTTAAAATGGACATTTCCATTTACTCAAAAGTCAGAAAACATGACATCACCAGTTTTTCCTCTGGATTCCTCACCTGTAACTGTGTCTCTCCAACCAGGGTAGTAGAAAGCCACTGCAAAAGCTCAAGAGCTCAGTTCTGTGATAAAACAGCTGTCTCTTCCCCGTAATTCTTGTCTACTTAAAGGCTGCCACTCACCTGTTTTCTCGGCCGACTGCAATTATCAAGACAGCTACACAGCCACGCTCCCATGCTGTTTTGTTAGACCTGATTTTCATTGCCTACAAATCCAATCTGATTAAAATCCAGATCTATATTGCGTTTCGTTTTTTTATACTTTCAATGGTCTCTACTACATGAAGATCTGATCGGTTGTAGTGGAAGGTCACGTCAGGGGTCATACAAGCGACTTTTGACTCTATGGCATCAGACATTTGATTAACCAATCAGCGGTGATGTTTTAGTGGGTTACCCACAGTTCCGAGCACCTCGTGCCAAAAACCTGCCGTAACCTGCTCCTATACTGGGCTAATGAAGACGGGCATACGCCATACAGTGTGCTATGAGGGAAATTTTGCCCGGGCAGCGGCACTATCGCCTACTCTTATATCGAATTCCAACTGCCAAGGGATCTTTACGTGCATTCTAATCTATACACGGGACCTCGGTTTTTCGTCTCATCCAAAGGACTAGACAGCTGTCCTTGTCAGGCCCTCCGTCCTGCATCACTGACAAGGGGGAAACACGTCGGAAAATCAGGATGAACTTTCTCGGCCAATGCAGGGATCGAACATCCGACCTCCAGACTAGTGAGCCAGCGCCTTAACCACCTAGCCACATGGCTCCCTTGTAATGTAGAAACACAAAACGCAGGTTACAAGTAAAACAGAATTTTGAACTATAAAAAACAAAACGAAATTAAATCTGCGTTTTAATCAGATTGTAATGTAGAAACACAAATCATTAATCTTGTCCCGTTTAGTCTTCCATATGCAACACTATGTAGAGGGAAATAACTCCTAATGGCATGCAAATATTTCTCGTCTTGCTACAAACCTGTCTTACATACATTATTATCATATTCTACATATTTTTATTGTTTGTTTATTTGACAGATTCGTAAATCTGCATCGGTGGCCTCAACTTTATCAGCATCAAACTGTGAAAGTCCTAGAATCCTGTCCCCGATACCACAGAACGGCCACAGCGATAATTGTTTTCCTCCTGTACCAGAAGTTGTCGCACAAACACCGTGTGGTAGCGTCGTCAAATGGGAGGAACTTTTTGATGTAAGTACAAGATTCTATTTTTATTTCGCCCAGCCGCAGTGGTTCTCCAGGTCTTGGCCGAGAAAGTTCCTTTGGATTTTTCGGAGTGGTGCTTGACAAGGAACAGCGTCTAGTTGTTTGGACTGGATAAAAAACCGAAGTCCTCTGGAATGCGAAATGAATGAAGGCCATTGGTTCCATTGTCCAGGCAATCGTCATAGCACAATGTATGACGTATGCCTGTCTTCATTTACCCAGTCAGTGCAGAAAAATAGGACGTTGAACCCCATTTCATTTCTATTTTCGTTGTGGGATCGGTTAGTCGAGTGGTAGACCCTACAGTCTGTGTTAACTGTGCAAGTCATGGGTTAGCTCCCTTTCTTGTTATTAGGAGAATCCGAGGAGGAGGTGGAGTTGAGTATCTGAACTAACCTCTTGCCAGCTTCCCAGGATCCCCAGAGCCGGATTAAGACATACTAAAATGATCATGTAGTCCCATACTGCACTCCAACTTTGTGGGTTTTCTCTGGGCTCTCTGGTTTCCTCCCACTGCTAAAAACTCCTACGTGCAAGCGAATTATTGAAATAAAAGTGAACCATATGTTAGTCCCAAAATGACCTAGTCTGTCTCTGTCTCTGGAGGTCCTGTGTTCAAGAATGTTCATCTGGATTTCTGGCTTGGTTCCTGCTTGGCAGTGGTGCAGGACAGAGGATCTGGCAATGGACAGTGTATATTCGTTTGGATGGTACGAAAAACCTAGGTCCTGTGTCCACCTTGGCGTGCACGTAAAAGATCCCTTGGCAGTTGGAATTCGATATAAGACCATGAAATATCTCAAGTAGCAGTTGCTGTTACCCAACTGGTGGCATGTTTGAGACAGTGTATGTGTGCTTCTCTTAGAACACCTGATAACACTTTTTAAAAGGAATTTGACCATAACTGACAAGTTTGTTTTTATTCTAAAAATCTTTTAATTTGTAGAAATTTAAACCAATAGAAAACCCATCAAAAGGCCTTGAGGCTCCTCCACCCTACGTGAGCGGAATAAGGTCGCCAAGATATGGACCAGCACAGACTATTACAGTACAGAAAGGGGCTCGGGGAAAAGGGCTCGGATTTAGTATTGTTGGAGGAAAGGATTCAGCGAAGGGAAATATTGGGATATTTGTACGAAGGATTTTCTCAAATGGTCTGATATCAGAAGATGGCAGGATAACAGAAGGTAAGTTATTAGACTATTTTCGGCTGCAATACAAAGCCCTATCTATAATACAAATTTCAAGTGCTTGTAAAAAACCTAAAAACCATGGATTGTCATTTGCATTCTTTGAACAATTTCTTCTTTTAAGACCTAAAATGTACTTGTATTGATTATTTAAAGATACATTATGGGAGATTTTTACAGAGAATTGGCCATTCTTGCTATAACAGTTCAAAAGTAGATGATGAAAGAAGAATATTTTGAAAATTTCAGTCAAATTACTTTATTCTGAACATAGTTATCATCGTTGTAATATTTGACTAGAAATGGTAGTGAAATGTGCCTTCACTGTGGCTGATCGTTTGATTGACAGGCGTTAACTCCACCTACATATCTCGATTATCAAGTAAAGTTTTCAATGGCATGTGGAAACGCTCTACAGCGGCCTCGCTAAGTACACTTTATCATTCTCATCAGGATGCGCCATATTTGAATTAATTGATAAGTGAAATCCTATTTAAATCCGAGCTGTAGTCGAGCCATCCGTGGGTCTACAGAGTTGATTTTGGTCTTGTTGTTTAAATAAAGATCTAATTTATAATTTCTATAACATCTGAAGCCTAAATTAAGACTTGCAATAATCAGATTTTGCTCTTGCATAATGTATGTTTAACATTTTATTAAGAAAACAAAAGGCTAATTATTAAAGGTAGATAATCCTCCCAGTCTTGAATTCAATCACTTTAATACAAGAGGTCAATATTTACGGGAGGGAGGTTGGATGGCCGAATGGTTAGCGGGTGTGCGCTGTATCATAAGGTCTGTCATTGAGTCAACTGACATGGTTTCGATTCCCTAGTTGTATCTGACAAGGAGTAGGGTAGCCTGTCCAGCCTCGTGGTTTTTCTCTGGGTCCTCCGGTTTCCTCCCACTGTTAAAATTGAACTATGTGTTTGTCCCAAAATGAATTAGTTTGTGTCGAGTGAACGTTAAACCCCATTTCTCTCTCTAATTATATAATTTACTCAATGCTGAAAGTTCGGATGTTATTAGGTTATATCTTTGTAAATATTGAACCAAAGTTAACCATTTACAGGTGACAGGAAGTAGGGTCAGGGTCTAACCTTGTGGGTTTTCTCCCGGTGCTACGGTTTCCTCTTACCATTAACCCCTGTTAGTACAGTTGGAGCAGGACAGAAGGACCTTAAACCCCAATTTGATGAATATTATTGTTATTTTTAGGTGATGAATTATTAGAATTAAATGGCGAGTCGTTGTACGGTCTAACACATAAAGAGGTTATTGCACGGTTCCGTGGATTAAAGAGAGGTTTAGTGACCTTGACCTATAGAGGTCGTATAACATCACCATGTGCCAGGTAAATCATTTATAAGATACAGGATATCTCTTGGGTTACTCGATGGAATGTTCAGGAATAAGATACAGTCTAGGATATCTCAAGGGTTACTTGATGGAATGTTCGGGAATTAAATACAGTCTAGGATATCTCTAGGGTTACTCGATGGAATGTTCGGGGAATTAGATACAGTCTAGGATATCTCTAGGGTTACTCGATGGAATGTTCAGGAATTAGATACAGTCTAGAATATCTCTAGGGTTACTTGATGGAATGTTCGGGGAATTAGATACAGTCTAGGATATCTCTAGGGTTACTCGATGGAATGTTCGGGGAATTAGATACAGTCTAGTATATCTCTGGGGTTATTCTATTGAATGATCAGGAATTCAATTCTCCACCCTAGAAATGTGTCCATTGAGTCAACTTGAGCATTTGGGGTGCATGGCCACATAGGTTGGACTACATGCGTCATTGATACCATCTTTCACAATCACCACAGCTGAAATGTTCCAATAACGTCAGAATTCAGCTCACTTCTAGAGGCCACAATTGTTTTCCAATCCAGATACAACTTAACAAATATGTTAAGGATAAAAAATCTTGGATGAGTCTGATTTTGGTGCGTATTGGACCTTCTGTACATATTAAAGAATGTATATTTTGATCATTGTTTACTGTCCCCAATACGGGCAAGTACCTATGCAATAGCCTTAAAAATATTTTTAAATCTGAACAATATTTACGGTCTAAAACACCCATTTGAATGTCTATTCTTTCTTTTTATTTCTTTGTTTAAAGGTTTAAGATATTCACAGTATTTTTATATTTTACAGCCCCAGATTGTCTCCAACAGAATCCCTGGATGGGAGTCCTGTATCCACACCCAGTCATTCACCACGACACACACCTCAAAACAGTATTTCCGACCCATCAGTATTTGGAATAGATATTAACACAAATCACAGCGCTCCTGTACCTCCACCAACCCCTTATCGACTACCCTTTTATTCCCCAGCCAGTGAAATCCTTCTTCAAAGTGCTTTCCAGAACCAATGTAATCTGTTGTCACCCATGACGACGCTTGCCGGGACCAATAACCTCTTCGCCCAGACAGACAGGTTGTTAGAACAGAATATGATGGCATCCATGCAGAGAATGGAATCCTTCGCCCAGAGTTCATCGTTCAGTATGATGTCATCGAGTAGCTTCTCTAACGGTTCCGTCGTTTGGCAGGCGGAAGAATCTGAGAAGCAGTTTCGACAGTTTGACGTTTTACTCCATAAAGGTGAGAATGGACACTGGGGTTTAGGTATGGTCATATTCGTCCTCGGTATCAGATTCCTTTCTACTCCACTATACCCTGGGTTCATCTATGGGGTATTCACGTATTCGTCCTCGGTATCAGATTCCTTTCTACTCCACTATACCCTGGGTTCATCTATGGGGTATTCACGTATTCGTCCTCGGTATCAGATTCCTTTCTACTCCACTATACCCTGGGTTCATCTATGGTGTATTCATGTATTCAAATCATCTGCCCTTGATAGTAGCTTGATAGTAGCTTGATTCTATGAACCAATAAAAAAACAGTTTATAAACCAGTTTTGGCCTCAATGCTTACATTCACAACAATATGGCGGCTTGTTTGTTGCAACAGGATGAGATTTAGTTTCTTTCGCTAACTTTCTTTGTATGTAAACAACTTTTTTGTGCGTGTGGGGGGGGGGTGTCACGGTGGCTAAGTGGGTAAGACACTAGCTCGCTAGCCTGGAGGTCGGGTGTTCGATCCCTGCATTCACCGAGATAGTTCACCGAGATTTCCGGCGTGGTTCCCCCTTGTCAGTGATGCAGGACGGAGGGCCTGACAAGGACAGCTGTCTAGTGCACGTAAAAGATCCCTTGGCAGTTGGAATTCGATATAAGAGTAGGCCGTAGGCCACTGTCCGGGCAAAATTTCCCTCATAGCACACTGTATGGCGTATGCCCGTCTTCATTAGCCTAGTTCAGAGCAAAACAGTATGACGTTAAACCCATTTCATTTCATTTCATGTAACGATTTTTTTCATTGTTCAATAAAAATAACAGTGAGCAAGGGCATATAATTTGAATATGTGTCTCCTCTGTTGATGAACCCAGGCGTTAGTGGAGTGGAACAGAATAAGACTGAGGATGGGTCGTATTAACCAATGCATTGTAATTGACAAGCTGAGCCCTTATTCACGAAAACTTAAACTAAGTTACAACCGAAATTTTAGGAAATACTGCAACTTCATTGGATATATGCAAATTGATTTTATTGGTCAGCCAATCGAATTGCAGTATTTCCTAAAATTTCGATTGTATCTTAGTTTAAGTTTTCGTGAATAAGGGCCCTGAGCATTATTATTTTTATTTTTTTTAGAGAATTACACTTTTAAGGGTTAAAACCCTTTAGTACATGTAAATATTGATTATTCGGATGGGGAGTCATGGTGGCTAAGTGGGCAAGACGCTGGCTCACTAGCCTCAAGTTGCGGGCTCGATCCCTGCATTGGCCGAGAAAGTTCATCAAGATGGTACGGCGTGGTTCCCGCTTGTCAGTGGTGCAGGACAGAGGGCCTGACAAGGACAGCTGTCAAGTTGTTCCAATGGGACGAAAAATCAAGGTCCCGTGTACGCATTGTTGTGCATGTAAAAGATCCCTTGACAGTTGGAATTTGATATAAGAGTAGGCTGTAGGTGCACTGTATGCTTCATTAGCCCAGTCGGAGCAGAACAGTAGAACGTTAAACTCCATTTAATTTCATCGATTACTCTGGAAAAATTAGGCAAAAGTGATGTTTAGTAGATAATTTTCCAAACCATTTGTGTGAGTGTGATGGACAATGACCAGAATATGCCTACTTTTCACTATTGATGCAATGGCACCAGGAGCCCCATGCATGTGTAATCCGACCCTGGACAATATGGTAATAGAAACCCAGACAGTAACCTCACTGTTATTACAAACTTTCCCTCATAGCAGACCACACGACTTGTTCACAATTTCATTCTCCCAGTTCGTGCTGACCAGTATGACATTAAACCCTATTTCATTTGTTAAAGCTAAAAGTCAATTTTAAGGTTAGAAGTGTTAATGATAATAAAAAAAACGCAACACAATTTATATGGTAAAAACAATCACTGGTTTGTTCACATATAGCACGACGTTTCGACAATTATTCTCTTATCGTTTGCAATCATTTCTACTTGAACATGATAAGAGAATACTTGTCGAAACGTCGTGCTATATAAATTGTGTTGTGTTTTTAATGCCACTCAAGGATTGTTAATGATAATGTTGGGTATAAATGTTATATTTTATAGAACCATGTGTTATTTTGTAGAACCAGGTTTTAGTCTCGGTATAAATGTTGTACGCAAGACGATAGCAGGTGTTAGTAATGTTTATATACAAGATATTGTCAATCCATCTCCGGCATATTCTGATGGCCGTTTAAAGTAAGTTCTATTTTACATCTTCAACCATCTTGGATAATCTTAGTAACGTATTAAATACAGTTGATGGCATTTACTCGAGCTGTAACTTGGATAGGGGGTTGGATGACCGAATGGTTAGCACATATGCATTGAGTACGTCTGTCATTGAGTTAACTTGCATGGTTTTGATTTTCCGGTTGTTCGTGACAAGGAGTAGGGATGCCTGTCCAACCTCATGGGTTTTCTCCGGGTCCTCCAGTTTCCTCCCACTGCCAAAGAACCCTGAGTGCAAGTGAATTATTGAAAATAAATTGAACCATGTGTTAGTCCCGAAATAACCTAGTTTATGTTGTGTCGATGTTAAACTCTCTCTCTCTCTCTCTCTCTCTCTCTCTCTCTCTCTCTCTCTCTCTTTGTAACTTGGATAAGTTGGAGCAAAACAGTAGGAAGTTAAAACCTCATTTCATTTTCCTTTCATTGATGTTAATTTTTGTTTATTTGTTTTAGAAAAGGTGATATGTTGATAGAAGTTAACGGACATCCCATGCATGAATTAACGTTACTTGATTCATTTCATCTCTTCCGTAATCTACCCCCGGGACCAGCAACCATATTGGCACAGCGTGAATTTAAAACTGTCACCAGGGTAAGTATCATAATATTTAGTTTGATGTCTTCCGTTATTTCAACAATTGTTTGGGGGGTTGGATGGCCGAATGGTTAGCAAATGCACGCTGATCATAAGGCCTGTCATTGAGTCAACTGGCGCGGTTTCGAATCCCCAGTTGTATGTGACAAGGAGTAGAGTCGCCTGTCCAACCTCGTCGGTTTTCTCCGGGGTCCTCCGGTTTCCTCCCTCTGTTTGAAATAAAATTAAACCATATGTTAGTTCCAAAATGACCTAGTTTGTGTCGAGGACGTTAAACCCCATTTCTCTCTCTCTCGCTCTCAATAATTGTTTTATATTTGGTCATCAGGACCTGACAAAGGACCATGTATAGTTGTTTGGATGGGAAGAAAAAAATGTGGTCCCGTTTACACATTACTGTGCATGTAAAAGACCCTTGAAGTTGGAATTCGATGTACGAGTAGGCCGTAGTGACGCTGTCTGGGTGAATTTTCCTCATAGCACATGTTAAAGCCCATTTCATTTTAATTTATATTTGGATGGATTATCTCGAGCTTACCCTCTGTTAGAAGAGTTTTTATAAACCCACAATAAAATGGGGTCGGATTTTGTCGCTCTAGAGGCTCCAGTTATTCTCAGAGAGATTTTATATTTATATACAGGGTTTATGAGATGAAAATGTCTATTAATTTTCAACTATTTCCGATAATTACGATCAGAGTTGTGGCCTATGATCAATTTGAAAATGCTGGTGGGCGTGAAACCCCATTTCATTTCATTTCATTTCATTACCTACAATGAATATTTAATTAATATAAATTTCAGAGATTGGCTTACGTATAAGATTTATTCCAGCGTCAGGTATATTATCAATGAAAATAACACCTGGCTTATATTCTGTTTGTGTGAATATAATATATGCATGGTCGCCATTTTTAGTTTTCGTATATCATAAAGAAATGATTCACCCACTGCAAATAATTAATTCACAGTTGCGTTTTGTGTTTCACATTCAAAGTAAAATTTAACACAACACAGTTCTATGGACGACCTCGGTTTTCCCCGTGATCTCATTGCGTTCTACTCCACTATACGCTGGGGTTTAGCCATAGGGTTTTCACTATTTCAATTTATCAGCTCTGTCCTTGATCGTAGCTTGAATCTGCGAACCAATCAAAAAACAGTTTACAAACCAGTCTTACTATGACTCTTTAGCCTCTTTGTTTACGTTCACAACAATATGGTGGCTTGTTGCAACACAATGAGAGTTACTTCCCTTCGCCAACATCCCTTGCAATAAACGATTTATGGGATTGTTTGATAAATATAGCACAATCATCAAGGGCAGGTAACTTGAATATGTGTTCCCCCACCCCCCCCCATGGATTAACTCAGAGGTTAGTGGATAGTGGAGTAGAACGGAATGAGACCACTAGGGAAATTGAGGAGGTTCTATGGATAACAATCACCATTTTATGTATACACAACATTTTAACACTGGTCGTTATCAAGCATACAAATTTACAACCTGATTAAAACACAGATCCTATTTCGTTTCGATTTTTATAATTCAAAATTTTGTTTTACTTGTCTTTACTACACTAGAATCTGGAAGAGTTGTTATATAACCTGTGTTCTGGATGATGTGAGGGATTAGCCAATGTACTGTGTTCTTGGCGTGCGATGCACGGAACTCTGGGTATCCTACTAGAAACATCAACACTGATTGGTTAATCAAATATCTGACTCCATATGGCAAAATGCCGACCGTATGACCCCTGACGCGACCTCTCTCTGCAACTGGTCAGATCTTCATATAGTGAAGGCTATCGAAAGTTTAAAAAAAACGAAACGAAATGTAGGTCTGTATTTAAATCAGAATGACAAATTTACAAATGAGGATGGCAAGGACAGCTGTCTAGTCCTTCGGATGATACAAAAAAACGAGGTCCCGTGTATACATTGGAATGCACGTAAAAGATCCCTTGGCAGTTGGAATTCGATATAAGAGTAGGCGATAGTGCTGCTGCACGGGCAAAATTTCCCTCATAGCACACTGTATGGCATATGCCCGTCTTCATTAGCCCAGTATATAGGAGCAGAACAGTAGGACGTTAAACCCCATTTCATTTCATTTTACAAATGAGGGAGGAATCAAATTGTTATTGTGCATGAAACTCATCTATGCCTTGCTCTTGGCCCCGTTACCAATAGCAACCACACTTGGTAGAATTACGCCTTGAGTGACATTTAGAGATTGAACACATTAATGCTTTAAAACACCTAAAACATGTTTATATGGACTACCCCCAGTTATCTGAGAATAGTGACGTCTTCACTGAGGTTGCTAGAGGGACAGACCAAGATGCATGAATCTAATTACATGTTTTTATTTGGGTGGGCTGATATGTGTGAGGATCTATTTTTATATTTCCTAAAATCAAGCTGCTGCGTTGCTTTATTATGTTTTTTTTTTTATTAAAACCAAATTTTCCTAATTTGCTTTGCAATGTTTTGGAGTGCTGTGTAAATATAATAATTACATTGTAACTTTGGGGAGCTGATGGTTGGTTTACCCGTTTCAAAAGATCTGGATCCTTATTATAACTTATTATTTTAGAGACATTTATTAACTGGATAGAGTAGTTGAGTTGAGTGGCGTTATTTAGATTCCCTGCTTGTACGCGACAAGGAGTAGGGTCGGCTGTCCAACTGCATGTTTTTTCTCCGGGTCGTCTGGTTTCCTCCTACAGCTAAATCCCTCTACGCACACACGCTTTTTTTGGGAAAAAATTGAACCATGTAAGTCCCAAAATGACCTAGTTTATGTGGACATTAAACCCCCCCCTCTCTCTTTATCTCTGTCTCTCTCTCTTTTTATTGCAGTGGTTCTCAAACTTTTTTGGCCAATGTCACCTTGGAACACATGAAAAAATAGCGGCACATTTGGCTATATATATGAAAAATATTTGAATTTTGCAAAATAAAAACATGGCAAGTCATAGACGGCATACAACCGTAGACATAGACTAGTCATAGACACATAGAATGACTCAAACTAAATAAAGAAAAACACAGCTATGAACTTATCAGTAGATACCAGTGAATACTCAATTGGGATCACATGGTTTTTGACATTTTGTTAGTGTGCCGTTCAAAATTTCGCGGCACACTTCACTTAGGATGATCTCACGGCACACAGGTTGAGAATCACTGCTCTATTGGGTCTTGTCTGTTTGAGTTATTGCCGTAATATTGTTCAACTACATGAAATAAAGTAAAGACCATTCTGACAACAGCTCATCATATTTTTTTATAACTTTTTACTTTCAATAAAAACATGTGACATCTCCATAATGGTCATTTCTATTATTTCTTTTTTACAGACACAAGAAAATTCTCCAACAAGCCAGTGTCCTTAAACATTAATCACCCTCGGGGGAAGGTCAGTGCTGAAGCTGTTCGTTAATGTTGCTATTTAGTTGAAGTTTCCTGGGATTTGGAAACGAAGGTTTTAGTTCTGGATTCAGCAGATTTTTGGATCATCCCGTTGAATTTGATTGTTATGTTCATGTTTTGTGTTAGTGTTTTATTTATATTTTATTTTTAAGCTCCAACGATTTCTATTACATTTTATACCCAATTCTTAAGACACACATTTCCCTCATAGAATAATCCGCCTTCATGAGCCCAGTGGGTGCAGAAAAGTAGGACATTAAACCCAATTTCATTTAATCAGCTGCGTATGTTAACTGTAAGTATGTTCGGTTAAATGGGATACATGATGTATTACTGTAAATAGCTGTTCAACACAGGCCTGTAGCTAGCGGGAGGGGGGGTCAAGGGGGCAGCACTCTTTCCATTGGACGAAATATGAAGCCAACAACCAATGTGCCCATATCAGTATGGGTACCACATAAAACCGAGTGACATTGGTTGCCTGGTTCGGCACCCTTACATTGGACGCAATATGAAATGAAGCGCTCATATCAGTATGGGCACCCCATAAAACTGATGACATTGGTTGGGCTACCCTCCTTGCCCCCCCCCCCCAGCTACGGGCCTGTAACAGTTAAAACCTTTATTTTGTACAGATGAATTATCTTTTACTTATTAAAGAATAATTCTTTTTTTTTAACACAATGTATTTCTCGAATTGTTAAAAGTTTAGATATAAAAATATTTGGAAATACAAGGGGAATTTGTCATTTAAAAATTCAATTTAGTTTTCCATTTTCAAAAATAAATCGCACATTTGCCACAATATAACTCCAAGGTGCTGATGTGCCATTAAACATCACTTTATTTCTAGATATCATCTATTTATAGACAAAATACTTTTGTTACTTATTGTTATAGAAATCGTTGATGTTGTTTAGTTAATTGACGCAAGTTCTAGTCAGCCATTTTGAGAAGAAAAGGGCCTGTAAATTTAAATAAAACGCACAAAATGATATAACGAAATCCAAACAACAAAAATACGCCAAAAGTCTCAATCGAATGGCAATCTCTAGCATCTGGTTATTCCAGTCTTCACCTAGGTATTGATTGCACATTGTGGAATATGTCTAGCCTTGTTCATACACAAATCGTGTACCATAATGCGTTTCAGTGCCTGAAACGCATTATGGTACACGAATCGTGTACCAATGGTAAAATGTTTATTTTGTCTTAAATATTGGACATCAGAAGCCCATCTTTTCCCAATTAGATCACAACATCAATGTTGATTTAAATTGACAAATAATTTGTGTTTTTAATGCCGAAGACTTTGGATGATATTGAGTTAGAGACTTAGCTACTTTAGAACCAAAAGTCAATAGCTTTTTGTTCCAAATTTTGGAATGGGTTACAAAATATATGTGACCCGCTCCCACGAAACCAGACGCTTTGTCGCACAACTTCATTTTGTACTACAGGCACAAAAGCATAAACTATATGCCTTCTTTTTGCTGTAAATGAGCCGAACTCAACTCCAGACTATACAACAAAATTAAAATTGCATTTTTGGAAAGCTTAGGCTGTGGACTATTCAAATATGCTGCCAGCTGTATTTTTATAAAAATGACCAAGAATCTGGTTTTGTGGGAGCAGGTCACATATATACTGCATTTAGGAATGATTTTTAGTGAATTAAACTAAATAAAGGGACATAACTCTTTATCCACTCTGCATGTTTTCCATTTGTACTATATTTTGCTAAATTCTTCCTTCCAACTTGAAAATCGTGCACAAAAAATTGGAACATGTGCCTTTAACATTTCCAGATGAATGCATTTAATTGACGGCTGATCTTGAATTCTACGCCAGTTCTACAATTTATTATATATTATTATTTATTGTTTTAATTTCGATTTTATGTCAAATCAAAATATGATTGTTTAAATGTTTGAAGTGCTCTTAGTATGAAAGGGAACGTCCACCAAGACTGACTATCATTGTAGCATCACCCCAGAAAGAAAGTTAATTGGAGTTTACTTGAAAATATTGAATGGGACTCAGCCGTTTTTGGTCTGATTATATTCCTTTTAGAGTTCAAATTTCACAATATAGTAACATAAGGTACAATTTTATGGATACACAATTAATGAGTTTATACTAAGCAACCTTTCGACGAGGATACTGAGTATTAAACTCAGTAATTGTGTATCAATAAAATTAGACCTTGTGTTAATATGTTCACTAATAGTTTAAGAGGCATTAACAATCCCTCATATTTCCCCATATTGTAGTTTTCAAGCGTTCAACCAACCCTCTTCAAGTAACTTGTATTCCATATAATAGTGTCATTTGTTATTCTCATACAATTACTAAATGCCACTTAAACAAATTAATTCATTCCTATGATGATGAGAGACCTCTATCCTACAACAGTTTTCTAATTCAAAAGATTTTCAAGGGAAATTTTTCTCGAAAAACAGCGCTGTGACTTACTTTTATTTTGTACCATCCAAATAACAAGACGATGTTCTCGTCAGACCTCAGGCCCCCAGCCCCCAGTCCGCAGTCCTGCACCTACTAACAAAGGAAGGAGACTACACCTAGATAAACCCCAGGATCAAAGCCTAGACCTCCTGGTTACCAATCCAGCATCTTACTCACTGAGTCAATGCGGTTCCCATGACTGTGCGGCAACTGTGTCAGATTAGGTGGATTATTATTTTACTCACTGAGTCACAGTGGTTCCCATGACGGTGTAGTGCCTGTGATTGTCTGTTTAGGTGGATTATTGTCTTTCTCACTGAGCCAATGCGGTTCCCCGTGCGTCAACTCTGATTGTCAGTTTAGGTGGATTATTGTCTTTAAGTATTTATATGTTAATCGGCCTTATCTGTGTTGTGCTGTTGTCTATCAAATTTATTAATCAACGACCAATCTGTCTATTTATTAATTAAAAATGATATTTTTGTAGTAGTCTGTATGTTAGTGAATTTTGTTTAAATGTCTCAAATATTTCTACTGGTTAATTATTATATATGTAGGGTAATACAAATTTATGCATTTATCAGTACTGGCTTTAATATGTGCGTACTCGTTTCGTTTTTTTATACTTTTGATAGCCTACACAACATGAAGAGTTGTAGTTGGAGGTCACATCAAGTGTCATACGAGCGGCTTTGACCCTATGATGTCATACATTGATTAATCAATCAGCGATGGCAGTTCTAGTGGTTTAACCAAAGTTCCGTGCACCTCATGCCAAAAACTTGCCATAACAGACCGTTTCATTGGCTAATCCCTCACATCATCCAGCACACTGATTATATAACAACTCTTCCAGATCCTAGTGTAGTAAAGACAAGTAAAATGAAATTTTGATCTATAAAATGAAACGAAATAGGATCTGTGTTTTAATCAAATTGCAATACTTTAATATTTGCTGTATATAAATCTGTTAATTCCTTATGGTATTTTAAAAAAATTACGTAATGCCCTCTAAATCCTCAATTCTCCAACCCCACACTTGAGTTGATATTGCATCTCATCTCTATAATGATTTCGGGGGTTGGATGGCCGAATGATTAGCACTTGCACGCTGTATCATAAGGTGTGTCATTGAGTGAACTGGCGGGGTTTCGATGCAAGGAGTAAGGTCACCTGTCCAGCCTCGTGTTTTTTCTCTGGGTTCTCCAGTTTCCTCCCACTGCTAAAGACCCATATGCGCAAGTGAATTATAGAAATAAAATTCAACCATGTGTTAGTCCCAAAATTACCTAATTTGTGTCAAGTGGACATTAAACCCCTTTTCTCTCTCTCTTTCGTGATTTCACAGACATTGAGCTATAAATATATTTTTATATATCTCGGAGAGAGAGAGAGAGAAATGGGGTTTAACGTCCCCTTGGCACAAACCAGGTCATTTTGGGGGTTCAATTGTATTTCAATAATTCGCTTGTGTGTAGGGGTCTTCAGCAGTGGGAGGAAACCGGAGGACCTGAAGAAAACCCATGAGGTTGGACAGGCTACCCTACTCTTTGGCACGTACAACCAGGGAATCACTTAAGAGAAGATTAATATTTACAATTATTATTTTGAAAATATAAGTGAAAAGGATGCAGTAACAAGTAAACATGGTTATATAAAACTTGTCTCCCTCATAACACATTGTATGGTGTATGCCCATCTGCATTAGCCCAGTCGGAGCAGAACAGTAGGGTGTTAAACCCTATTTCATTTCATTTCTATATCAAAAGATAATTCGTTTGCTATCAAGAGATGTTTGGATCTTGAAATGAATAACAATTTTTTAGAATATCAATAAATTCACAGAAAGAAAGGGACACATGCGGCTGTCTTCGATATCGTGGAAGCATAGAAATTGCTTCATGATCAATATACCGATGTATCAGTTTATCAACCAATGATGTTTTTGAGGCTCAAAATAAAGATAGGCCTAGGATCGAAATTTAATGTCCTGGAGAGCACATTGTTTTTGGAGAACTGTTTATGCCAACCATATTGTATTTACTGTATGTTACAAGTATACCATATTGTATTTACTGTATTATACAAGTATACCATATTGTATTTACTGTATGTATACCATATTGTATTTACTGTATGTATACCATTTTGTATTTACTGTATATATACCATATTGTATTTACTGTATTATACCATATTGTATGTACTGTATATTACATATATACCATATTGTATTTTCTGTATTATACATGTATGTATACCATATTGTATTTACTGTATATTACATGTATACCATATTGTATTTACTGTATTATACATCTATACCATATTGTATTTACTGTATTATACAAGTATAACATATTGTATTTACTGTATCTTACATGTATAACATATTGTATTTACTGTATGATACATGTATACCATATTGTAATTACTGTATTATACAAGTATGCCATATTGTATTTACTGTATTATACATGTATACCATATTGTATTTACTGTATATATACCATATTGTATTTACTGTATTATACCATATTGTATGTACTGTAATACCATATTGTATTTACTGTATTATACATGTATGTATACCATATTGTATTTACTGTATGATACATGTATACTATATTGTATTTACTGTATTATACCATATTGTATTTACTGTATGATACATGTATACCATATTGTATTTACTGTATGTATATTGTATTATACATGTTTACCATACTGTGTAATATATATTATATTTACAATGTAGATATGTACCAAGTGAATTGTTTAGTTAGTATTATATAGGACCAATAATATTTTATAATATATATTTTTTACATGAATAATTGACTGACAAAGGATGAATAAAATCATCTACATGGTACAACAATAGTTATTTATTATTCTTCAAGATATCAAGAAGTTAATCCTTTAGTGGCATTTGGTGATTAGAAACATAACAAAACTGACACAGTTATATGGGACAGAGGGGGGTTGGATGGCTGAATGGTTAGCATGTGTGCGTGGTATCATAAGGTCTGTCATTGAGTCAACTGGCGTGGTTTCGATTCCCCAGTTGTAGGTGACAAGGAGTAAGGGCTTCCAGTTTCCTCACACTGCTAGTATAGACCCCTACACACAAGTGAATTATTGAAATAAAATTGAACCATATGTTAGTCCCGAAATGACCTGGTTTGTGTCGAGTTGATGTTAAACCCCATTTCTCTCTATATATATATATATGGGACAACAATTACTGGTTTATTTCACACAATCGCGACGTTTCAATAAGTATCGACTTATCGAAATCGAGCGTAACGACATAAAGCATCAAGAAGTTGTTCTGCAATTAAGACCTTGTGTGTGTGTGGGGAGGGGGGGGTCTACGATGGCTCGGTAACCCTTACGCGCAAGTGAATTATTGAAATAAAATTGAACCATATGCTAGTCCCGAAATGACCTAATTTGTTGCCCTTTTCTATCCACCTGTATAAAATATATGATAATAAACCCCAAAAAATAAAAAAATACACACAGAACATTTGACAAAGATTTTGATAGTATAGAGAGGCGCATTTTTAGAAAACATTTTCAGTTTTTGGATCTTGTTTAATATATATATCGAGTCGTGTCAATGACAAATTATTATCTGAAACAGAAAATTCCTTAATAGTTGGGATCATGTTTGCAGACGAAAGTCTATGAAGCATGAGATTTTATTTAGAGAGGAATTATTTCACGGTACCAATTCCTAATCTCCCACTTTGACCTCAAATAACAAAAGGTTAAAAAGCGGCCCAGGGGAAAGTCTTTTCCTGTTTTTTCATGAGGCAGGACCTATTGACACGGGATTAGGATTAACATACACACAGAAGGATTATCAGTTTGTTTTCGTATCAAATATAAAGACTTGGAGGGGTCAATATATAAATAACCACGACTCAGCCATTGAGGAATTTGACATAATGTTGATTTTCTGGTCAAGAAGTCATGGATTAACAACACAGAATGGATTTTAATTGACAGTAGAGAGTCGTATGAATTCTGTGTTTTATAAATATATTAGATTATACAGATATTATTCGTGTGTAGGGATGTCAAGTTAAGTTATCTCTTCATTGATGGATTTTTGAGAGTAGAGAGAGGTATCAGTTCTGTGTTTTTAAACATACATTATTTAAGAGCTAAATCTGCCTATTGCAGGTCTTCCTTTAGGCCTGAAATGTTATCTAAACTATTAATTAGACATTTATTAACATGAAAAGACCTTAATCAATGCTGATTAATGATAAAATGCAAAAATGGATAATCAAGACTATGTTTTTTTATTTTACCGACTTTAATAATGATGATCAAGGCTAGGCCTAAAATTCAAACACTAATATCTCGGTTCAGAGTTGAGCAATTTGACTGAAATATTCAGCATATTCCCTTTATATTATCTATTTTTTAACTATTGTACTTCAAACTACCAATTTTTTATCTAATCTATACTAATATTTGTGACTGTTGTTTGTCTGTCTGTTCGGGGTTGGCGGCTACACTAGGTCTGCCCCGAGTCTGAAATTTGGGGTATAGGGGTAGCTCGGACCGGGGAGTAACATAGGCCAGGTGGCGTTAGTCTACCACTTCCGATTTCGGGGTTATGACCCCCGAACGAAGCCGGGCATTCTTCTAGTCTTACATAATGTATCTTTATATATATTGGTTTATCCTGATATGAACCTTGTGTATGTTAGAGTGGTCCATAGAGGTTTATCTCTTTAATATTAATCAATGTAGAGATACAACACACAAAAAAAGACGTGATTGTGGACTTAGGGTAATATAATAATGTGATAGGGATATCAGTTCTGTTAGGTTTATCTGGATATCCCCGTTGTGTGTACTACTGTGTAGGGTGGATACATTTATGTTCATTTATTAATTTTAACACAGTTCTCTCTTGCTTGTAAAAGCTGGGGGTTGGATGACTGAATGGTTAGCACGTGTACGTGTTAACTCTTTAAACTTAAGTTTTAGTTACAGAATTAATTTTGGATGGTTGGATGGCCGAATGGTTAGCACGTGCGCGCTATATCATTAGGTCTGTTATTGAGTCAACTGGCATGGTTTCGATTCCCCGGTTGTATGTGACGAGGAGTAGGGAGGCCTGTCCTCCCTCGTAGGTTTTCTCTGGGTCCTCCAGTTTCCTCTCACTGCTAAAAACACCTACACGCAAGTGTATGATTGAAATGGGGGGGTCATGTGGCTAAGTGGGTAACACGCTAGCTCGCTAGCCTGGGGGTCGGGTGTTCGATCCCTGCATTGGCCGAGAAAGTTCATCCAGATTTTCCGGCGTGGTTCTCTCTTGTCAGTGATGCAGGACGGAGGGGCTGACAAGGAAAGCTGTCTAGTCGTTCGGATGGGACGAAAAACCGAGGTCCCGTGTACACATTGGCGTGCACGTAAAAGATCCCTTGGCAGTTGGAATTCGATATAAGAGTAGGCCGTAGTGCCGCTGGCCGGGCAAAATTTCCCTCATAGCACACTGTATGGCGTATGCCCGTCTTCATTAGCCCAGGTTAGGAGCAGAACAGTAGGACGTTAAACTCCATTTCATTTCATCTCATGATTGAAATGAAATTGAACCATATGTAGGTCCCAAATTGACATAGTTTGTGTCGAGTGGACCTTTGGGTTTATTTTTTTTTTATTGATGAGATGAAAACTTGATTTATAAATTGAGATACATCCAAAATTGATTCATTTATTAAATCAGAACGGAGGGCCCGACAAGGACAGCTGTATCTAGTCACTAGAATTGTACGGAAAACTGAGGTCCGATGTGCATGTTGGCATGCACATAAAAATCCCTTGGCAGCTGGAATACAATATAAGAGTAGGTCGTATGGGATACCCTGTCTTCACTAGCCTACTTATTGGTTCAGAATAGTAGGACGTTAAACCCCATCCTATTAATAATTATATACTATAAAATACAGGCATCACATCAATGACCATATAATAAATGAAAATGAAATGAAGTAAAAATACAAAAAAAGATTGGATTCTTTTAAAAAATTTAGCAGTAAACAAATTTTTCATTGAAATGAAATGAGGTTTAATGTTCTACTGTTCTGCTCCGAACGGGGCAAATGAAAATGGCATACTCATACAGAGAGAGAGAGAGAGAGAGAGAGAGAGAGGGAGAGGAAGGGAGGGAGGGAGAGAGAGAGAGCTGATGTGTAGCAATGAAATGAAATGAAATAGAGTTTAACATCCTACTGTTTTGCTCCTAAACTGGGCTAATGAAGACGGGCATACGCCATACAGTGTGCTATGATGGAAATTTTGCCCGGACAGCAACGCTACAGCCTACTCTTATATTATTTCAAATTCAAACTGTCAAGGATTCTTTTATGTGCATATGATCCTGTCCTTGTCGGTGTTCCCCCGTCCTGCGTCACTGACAATGTCGGAAAAACCAGTGGAATTTTTTCTGGCAATTATCAATAGACAGTCATGTATTATACTATATAAGTGGGAACCACAGTGGTTCAGCAGGTAAAACATTGGCTCCCTAAACTGGAGGTCGCGTGTTAGATCCCTCCAATGGCCAAGAAAGTTCATCAAGATTTTCCGACATGGTTCCCTTTTGTCAGTGATGAAGGACAGAGGGTCTGACAAGGGACAACATGTAGTCATTCGGATGGGATGAAAAACCCAGATCCTATGTTCACATTGGTTTGCATGTAAAAGATCCCTTGGCAGTTGGAATTTGATACAAAAATAGGCCGTAGTGAAGCTGTCTGGGCAAAATTTTCCTCATAGCAAACTGTATTGCATAAG